TGGTTACGGAGCCATAAAGTTGGTGTAAGGTGCGAATGGACATGACGGAACTTACAAAATCGACCCTTTTGGCCCCCCTCCCGTTTCACATGTTGGCTTTGAAAGTCCATATACAAAGGGAACAAGCTAGTCTGGTGCCAAACAAGATTCTTAAGTGCATAAATGGACTGCACTTGAATAAATTTGCCCTGGGGAGGGTGTGGACAGGAAAACGCCCTTTACGCGCGGAATCACCCGGGTAACACTGCAATGCGTAGCTTGATCACTGCCAAATTTCTTGCCATGGGGTTTTGGGGGTCGCTGACCTCATTTCTGCTGAGCTTGAACGTGTGCGATCACCACAGGGACGGAACTAGAACTGCTATGAAAGGGGGGGTTCTATAGTTAAGTTTAGGAAGTGAAAGTAGACCAGTCATTTGTTGGCAGATATATAATCTGCCAATTATAACGACACATACTACAACATATGTTAAACATTGGCCATGTCAGATGTTAAAATAAACAACTTAATTCGAAGAAAATGCATTCAATTGAAGCTTTATGCAAGGTCCACATAATATCGGCATATGTGTCATTGTTAAAATTTGAAAACTTAATAAGAAAGAAAATTAGTTCTGTTTAGAGCTCAATACACAAAATACACAATGCAAAACTCAATACAGTGCTGCACTACAGCAAGAGTGCAGCCATCTCTTCGGTAGGCTCAGTTGGTGAATTCCTGGGTGCCGTGTAAGAGGACACAATTGGGTCCGAGGTAATAGTAAACCTCCGTGCAACATCCACGTTGGTGTCAACACTCTCATTCCAGGAACGTGACATCACGTTCAAACGAATGTGACAAAGTGTCACGTTTGTTTGAGCATTGTGTCACGTTCGTTTCGATGTGAATCGGCCATAAATTAACTTATTCACATTCAAACGAATGTGACACAATGCTCAAACGAACGTGACATTTTGTCACATTCGTTTCAACGTGATGTCACGTTCCTGGAATGAGAGTGAATTCTGCAAAAAAAAAGAAAAAACGCTAACGTGAAAGCAGATGATACTGACGAGAGTGTTAATTTGGCTGAGCGATAGCGAAGCCCTTGCCGTGTTCGGGCGCGCTTGACGGGGAGAGCCATCTGGCCCTTGAATAAAAGCATCAAATTCGGTAAAGTCCTATTTAATGCAGACAGCAATACCTAACGTCTCTATTTGGTCTGAAACGAGAAAAACGCCATTAGGCATCATTAAGCTCAACACTTATTTTGGTCTTGCTGCAAAATTAACAATGTACGGCGCCCCGGACGAAAGAATTCCGAGCAAGCGCCCGGTCGTTTTGAGCCGGGGCCGAGCCCGACCCAAGGCAGCCCCGACCCAACCCCGAGCAACCCCTGGGCAACCCTCGGGCAACTTCCAAGCAACATCCGAGCCACTCCCGGGCAAGTCCCGAGCAACGTCCGAGCAAACTTTGAAACACGGAAAAAGCCCGCGCGGGCGGCGAACGCGAAGGGTGGGCAGCGCCGTGCGGGCGACGCACTTGAGGGGCTGCCTTCTGTCTGGGCCCTTAGCTGAGCGATCCCGTTGCCTGCGCTCGTCCGCCCGTCTCTCTCGCACTCTTAAAGTGTGCCGCAGGGGTTCGAGAGAGACAGAGCGGCTGGTGAGGCCCACGTGCTCTGCGGCTGGATGTGCAGGCCGGCGGACCCACCAACACAGCGTGGCAGCCCGTTTCCGGCATGGCCTCCCTGGCCTTCTTCATACAGTGCTACTTGTTGTCATGGCTGCACTGCAGCACGCTCCTGCTCGCCCGCCACCCGATATATATGTCACTGAGAATCCAAACGCTTTGAGTATAGGGTCATTCCACGCCAAGTCGTCAAGGTTTTGAGGGACGTGTCGGCCGAACCCAGCGGTATTTTCAGGGATTGTTGGCCCTATGGGCCCATTGAAGGTAGTGTTCCGGATTGGGTGGGCTGTGACCGCTTTTACCACCCGATGACTCCTACTGGAATTCCACCCGACCCACCCGACCCGATGAGCCATTGGGTGGGGTGGGTGGGTGGCTCTAGTCTGTGATCGGGCGGGCGGGTACCCGATGACCCGGTCGCGGTGGTCGTATCCAACACCAGTGTGAATGTGTGTCCCCTTGTGTGCGTACATTTTACGCGGGAGTTTTGAAGTGCCTGTCATCACGCCAGCGTCAGGGATCCAAAGAGGTTTTTTTAGGGGGGGGGAGCGGTGCAAGAGTTGCCTACCTACAGGAGCAAAGTACAACTTGTTGCCTCAGACAGCGTCATCGGCCCGGGGGGGGGGGGGGGGGGGGGTCTCTCGTCCCGCCGAGATCCGCGCCCGGCCAGCGCCGTCGATAGTCTATCAACGAAATGCGCTAGCACTGTTGCGGAGGTTAAGCCCCGTGCGTGTCCATACTCAGTTCTTCCCTTGTTAATATTAATTGCCGAGTGTGTTCAGTGGCGGATCCAGAGAATCACGAGAGGTGATGTAACTTAAGTTGCCTACTTTCAGGGGCAAAGTGTATTTTTACCAATCACGCAGGTGGCTTTGCCTGCACCCCCCCCCCCCCCCCCCCCCTTGTATCTCCCCTCCCCGCCTGTCGAGCCTTGGGCTTGTATTGAGGAACAATATAGAATGACGACACATTATTACGACAATCCAAAAAATAAGTATCTATTTTATTCAACGTTATAAATTATATTCAAAACTCAAAAAAAGAAGGAGAGAGATGTCTCAAAGTATATTTTTCACAAATTTAACATAATAATAGTTTTGTAGTGTAGGCCCATATGAAAAAGAAAGGCTCCCAAAACAGCCCGAGCGGGGGCTCTGTCCGAAAACGGTTCCACCGGACTGGTCCGGCTGACATCCAGAATGTTAGAAATCCGGCAAGGTTTCGGGTGTTGTCCGACGACTAGATTCGGACTCTTTTCGGACTAACCCGAAGCAAGGCCGGCGAGCAGGGCGGGCTGCTCCCCGCCGCCCCCCACCCTTCCCCTCCCTCCCGAAACCCCTCTCCTCCCTTCGGAATCCCCTCCCCTCCCTCTGCAAGTGCAGTGCAGGCAACACTGCAAAGCCGGTGCACTTGGCAAGCCGTTTTGAATGTTGAAAATTGGCAAGCCTGGACCTGAAATACTTCCGAGTTCGCTAGATTTGGGCATTGCTGGCGGCCGAAGCGCTAAGTTTGGGCAAACTGGAAGATTTCAGGTCAGCGGGCTTGCCAATGTTTAGCATTCAAAACGGCGTGCCACTTTTGTGGCAGGCAAACTTAGCACCGGATTTGAACTTACGATAGTAATCAAATGGTTGATATGTAGGATGAAAACAATTTCCGATGGAAAGCACTTTGGGGACGAGAGTGAACGGGGAAAGGCGAATTAAATGATACACCTCTCGCCCTCTCACCGCCCGTCCCTTTAGTTTTGGGAGATGCAAACAACAGCAAGCGTGGAGTCACTAGCGTCATGAACGATCATCAGCAGAAAATTTTTCAAACTGAACCACACTCCTTTCCGTCCAACTGGTTCGTTCCCTGCGCAAGGCTCCGCAAGGCTGCAGCGCGCGGAGGCGACATGGCTTCAGCGCGCCGAGCGAGTGGACTCTGACGCAGGCAAACGCGATGCGTGCACCTTGGAGGGCAGCTGGAGACTGACGTTTTGCGTGCCGAGGCGGCCAAAACTTTCCGAGTTGCCGAAGGATTAAGGCTCCCCTCCTGGCCGAGCCAATCAGAGAGCGCCTCCGACCGGCCCGGGCCAGCGGGCTTTTCCGCGCCTGCACCGGCAGGGACAGTCCGCCACACTCGGCTCGCTGCCGATCGGTCTGCCGGACAAGTCGCTTTCGGGACTAGGATCTACGGGCTCCGTCCGGGCTAGTCCGATGGAAGCATCATCTGATCGGGCATCCATCGGGCCGTCCCAGTCCCGACGCGGGCTCGTGGCGGACAGTCCGACCTGGTCTCGGGCGCTCTATGGAACAGTCCGAGGGTGTTCGGACTGATTCGGACCGATTTCGACCAGGTTTCGGAACATTTCGCTTTTATGTGGGGGGCACTAATAGTGATGAGGAACGGATAAGTGACGAGAGAGAGTAGGGATTCACAGGTTTATTAGGGAGGTCCGCACAGACCGAGACCAGGCTACAGACTGTTGACCGGCGCTGAGGCGCGATCCAATTTATAGTCTGGGCAACAGTGACACCTTGCTTGGTGGGTGAGTTCAGAAAGAGGAGTATTGTAGGGCCTTGGCCAAGAGTGAGGGAAGCAAGCCAGAGAGGGGAAGAAGACAAGAAATAAAAATACTGACTGACACTTGTTTAACTCCTTTTAAAACCGTCAAATCTCTACACCACTCCCCCTTTAAAAGAATTTTCTCAAATTGCTTCCTTTCCGTCAAAGTTATCACTTCTCCTCCTTTTAAAGTTATCACTTCTCCTCCTTTTAAAGTTATCACTTCTCCTCCTTTTAAAGTTATTACTCCACTCCTTCTTTTAAAGAAAATTATAAGTTGCCCAAACTTTGACATTCAATTAAATTTTTCTGCGTCATCTTGAGTGTTGAGCTGAAAACAATATCACGTCTAGGCCCATCTGACTCAAGGTAAGGGTGTCCAGTCCTTCCTTGACACGCCATCAACGATCAAACAAAATTCATGATCCTCTTAAAGAGTGGTTCAACAGCGACTCCCATGGCACGTCCAAAAACTAGTTAGGGACGCCATCCTGGGGTGCAACCATTTAGCCTGATCATTTTAAAATAAAGGAATTTTACAGAAATGGATTATTCTTGCTGTGTTGGTCTTGTTGACTCTAGAAGACAGTTCTAGAAGAGTTCTCGTAGATTCTCCTGTAACACACATAACACTGCGCACAGAATTTTGTAACCTAATCCCCTCTAACTAACAGTTGGGGATGATGCCTTGGTGTTGCAAATCCTGACTAGCTAGCTAAATCCTATCTAAAACACCAGTTTTGATCTAAGAAGACTAATTAACACCAATGTTTTACCACACTTAACTTGGTAATTGTCCCAAGGCCTCGATGACTTGTTGTTGCACAGTCTCTGGAGATCCTGTGGCATCCACTACTGCATGAAGTCCTGGTTCGTTCTCCATCCAGTTGTCCAGAATCAGATGAAGCTGTTGGATGTAACCCTTGGACAATGTGCTCTCTTCATCCCTTGCCCTTTTATGGATCCTTTTGTAGGCTGTTGAAACACCGCCTCGAAGATATATGAAGTATTCCTTTCTCTTGTACTGAGATACCATAGTCTTGGCTGTGTTGTCAAGCAATACATACTGCTCTTCGTTCATAAATCCCGCGTCTTTCTGCGTTTTAGCGAACATCTTGACCACACTATGTAGAGATCGCTCTGCGATGATGACAGGATTTTCTTGTTGTATAGCTTCTAGTTGAGCCTGCCACAATGTACTGAGCACCATTGATTGAAAGGTAAACGCCCACTTTTGCATATCTTGAGTGTACAATTCCAGGAAATTAATCCCATGATAGTTTGTCCACTGGGAAACTGGTTCTTGCACTACAAGGTATCCTTTTTCTTCCAATTTCTTCAGTAACGTTGACTTGCCAACTCCTATGTTTCCTTCAATGTAAACAATCACCGGCTGTTTGACAGCTGTCTGCTTGAATTTGTTGTACCATGGCTGCCGACTTAACCAGGCAAGCGCCATGTCTGCGTCTCTTGGCTGTCAAGTGCCGACTGACCGTGAGGCTTGACCGGGCAACGGCCCGCGTGTTATGCATTCCAGCACGCATTGCCTCGGTGCGTTCATATCGAGTGCGATTGATCCGCATGAATGGCTATTGTTTTCACTGGGTTGGCTACCCTGTTCGCACTGTTGCTTCGTCGTGCGCGTCACTTCGTGCCGATGGTGGGGTCACGTCGCTGCGCTGATTGGCTCCCGAGTTTGTCGACGCTCGCGTCGGTGGTGGGGGCAGAGCGGCTCTTCAGGACTAGCGCTCCGCTCCGTCCGATGTATTGCAATGGTCTAGTGGGTAGCGTGTGTGGCCCAGATGGATAACAGCCGGTATCGGCGGTTCGAATCCACCCTGATGCAGACCTTCACACCGATATCTCAGAAAGGCAGCTATCAGAGTATCATGTTGGGTCCCCTCTTGGGTCCCACTTGGCCCTACTGAATGGCCTGTGCTGGGAGTGCGGTTGCTGGTGTTGCTTCAGGTATTCGCTCCGCGTTGGCGGTGGTGGTGATGGCCATGGTGCTGGTGCTGTTGTGCTGGTGACCTCCGTGGCGTCCTCTACGGTGTTCCATCTTCATTTGTGGAACATTTCCCTCCACATTGGTTGGAGTCGTGCACGAGTGCGCCGCCTTGAGTCGTCCAGTTGGTACATGGTACTCTGGAACGCCTGAGGTGCTGCTTGCCGATGCCGATGATGTGGCCTTCAGATACCGTGTGGTGTTCTCCATCTGGCTCACCCCTGTCACAGACCATAGTAGTATTTTGCCTCTGAATCGTATAGTTCTTTACTGTGTCTGACATTCCAACGAGCCTTTGCTCCTTGATACTTGACTCCGGCTTTCCTGCCATTGCATTGCGGCATGTCTGGCTTGGTGGTGGTCGCAGATGTCAGTCGTACCAACTGTGTCTGTTTAACGGTCAAACTTGTTTTGCTTCGTTCTCTGTGACTTCTTTGTTTTTGAATGTTGACTCCCTTATTGTCTTTTCATGTCCACTCTTGAATCCTTCTTCTCACCTGGTTCTGGCTTTTGGTTTTGCCTTGTAATTTTAGCGCGCGTTCTTTTTAAACACTTCCTGTAACTTTCCAATGTTGGTCAATCTGCTTGTCCTCTTCTTGTCGCTTCTTTATTACGCCATATTGGTTTCAGTCCCCTCGTTCTCTCCATTGTGAACTCGTGTGACTGCTTCTTGCTACGTCTTCTGTATTTATATTATTTTTTTCTTTAAACCAAAAACTTGAATAGATTGCTACAATGAGTCCTCCTTCTTCTTGCATCGTCGGGTCCCACGCGCGAGTACGCATACCAGGCCTTTCTCAAACCGTTTTTAATGTGGGTTTCCTGCTGGTATTCAGGTACGTCTCTTTTATTTCCTCTTGTGTTCTAACTTAGGATATGTATTATAGGCTCACCCCGGCTGTGCTTTCTGGGCAATCTCACGTTCCGACGTGACTTTCGGGTTGGACCATTGGACCATTGTTTGTGCTGCGAATGGAAACGCCCTGTGGGAGACTCATGTTCCGGCGTCGCAAGGGCTCCTGATTCCCCATGATTCATGGAAATGCCCTTTTCACCTCAGCTGTCCGACCTGTCCTGGACGCTACGTTCTTCGTGTGAAAGAATGTCCCGCTAGCCACTGCCCCGCTAGGCTGGGCTTCTTTAACATCCCTGAATCTGCTCAACCCTCAGATAAGGGCTCTTTTGAGTTGGCGCTGCGCAACATTCTCCCTTTGTAGTTTTCCTACATATTTTATTCACACCATGTTTTCATTGTAGGCATTATCCATGTTCATTTAGTGTTCATGTTATATTCTCTCTTTTCTGCGTTTAAAAGTTCTTGAATACCATTTCGTTTCGTCATTAATTTGTTGGTCACTTCTCCCACTCCTCCATTTTTAACACTGTATCAGTCATTTATTGACCTTGTCGTCATTGACATCCATCTTCCGTCGTTACCACTCCTGTCCCGTCCGCAGTGCACGCTTCCAGGGCCAATTTTCTAGCGTTTATTCTTCTTTGTAATATTTCCCTTTTCCATTCCTGTTTCCGTTTGTACGTTTCTTATCAAATTTTCATTCTTCCAGTTGTTAAGTTGTCATCCCGTCTGGGTTGGTAATGCTGATTCTGTGCCTTCTATTAATGTTGTTGTTCTTCTGCTTTTGGCTTATCACTCCAATCAAAACAAAAGTTCCTTCAGGTGACATTTCAGGTTATTGCTTTGAGACTTTGTGAAACATATTCTACTTTTCTTCCCCCTTCAAACGAAAAGACCAAAGGTAAGCAAATTCTAAGTTCGTTCTGAGTTTAAAGAATTGTTTTCCAGTCGTACTTCCATATTCTGAGGCACTACTAGCCATTCTATTTACCCACTTGTGTCCATCAAACAAAGTGGTTAGCTGACAACCAAGTTTTAAATTTACTTCGTGTTCCTTGTAAGTGTCTCATCCTAGAGTTCAAGTGTAGGTGAAACACAAAAGCGCGGTCTGGGACTTGACCCACAGACGGGCTTACTTTGCGTTTTGTTTGTGTAGAAAGCACTCAACGCGGCCAATAGGCGGGTTACGAGTGTTCCTCTAAAACTTTGTTCATCATCGTATTAAGTGGGTGTACCAAGGAATGTAGAAGTGCTAAGGAAAACGGAATTATTTACATATTAGTTTATTATTTTTAAACAGGGGTTCTCACTTGACAGGAAGTTAATGATAAGTTAATGATTATACTGGCTTTGAAGCGTTAACATATATACAATAGAGAGCTAAATGTTTCACTAGGTCTCGGCGTACCTAACCTTTCTTTGTCTTTCTTTGCAGGTCTTCTCAATCCTTGAGGTTTTCTTGAGATGACAATTGTTTCATCAGCTCGATCGGTGGTAAAGGTGGTGGCACCGGAATCAACGGGAACAATGCAACTTTCCGCTTGGCATCTTTGAGTGTAAGTACTTGCAAATTCAATTCTTTTGCCACTCGGCGAAGTTGTTTCTTGGTGGCGTTTGAGCACTCACTTCGTTTGTGATTGCGTGAGCCACATTTCCAACAACGGGCTTTCTCCTTCTGTTTCTTGCTCACTAATATTTTCTTTTGTGCAGGTTTCAACTGAGAAGTTTGGTGGACTACTGGAATACCTTCTGACTCCATTTCAACATCTGCAATCTCCGTTTCTTCTTGTACTGAGAGTTGCTGCATTTGTGGAACCAACTGGCTATGTTCTTCAAGCAATTCGTCTTCATCCAAGTCAGAGAGGACAATATCGACATCATCGTTGTTCGTACCAGCAGAACCAAACAATTCTTCCTCCAGTAAGTCAAACTGTAGTCTTTCCTCTGCTTTTGCTTCACAATCTCGAACCATTGCTCTGCGTTTTTCTGCTTCCTCTTGTTGCATTTTTCTGCGTGAAGCACTTACTTCTGTTTGTTTTAATTCCCACTCTCGCCGTCTCTCTTGCTTCGCCTTTTCAGCTGCTTCCAGTTTTTTTTTTTGAAGGGCTTTCTGTTCATCATATTTCTTTTGCATCTTTGCTTTGAGAGCAGCAAAGTCTACTTGAGGTAAGGCTGCTTTAACCGTTTTCTGTTTCAGTGGCTTCATTGGCTTCTTACTTGCAGTTTTATGGCACTGCTTACTAGGGGCGGTCATGGTGAGGCCGTTGTTCGTTATGCAAGTTCTACATATCAGAAAAGTTAGCCCGTCCATAGTTAGAAAGAATGCCGTCTAGAGAATCGAAATCGGACAAACGCTAGGGGTCCCACATCGGCCGTTTTTGCTCAGCTTAGGCAACCCGCCACGCACCGACCCATTTTTTTTAAAAAATTCCAGCTATTTGGCCAGGTAAGGGCTTTCCTCTCGCGCGGATCGAGTCTGGCGGTGTCTGCAATGTCTGCCCTGGTCGACGGGAAGCCACAACGACACCAGGTGAGTCGCAGGAACCGGGGAAACAGGCAAAACATGGCGGTTTTGCGATTTTGGGGGAAAATGCACGCGCTTAGCGCACTGCACGTGCGTAAATGCACTGCGGATTGCCACTACCCCTTCCCCGCGCCATACACATCCCCGCACCCACCCCGCGCGACCCAACCCAGCCCCCTGACCCAGACCCACCCCCTAAAACACATTTTGTACTCGTTTTAAGACCGATTTAGTGACAGTTTGCAGCTCTTAGCTGACCCCGCACTTGTTCAGTGCGAGATGACCCCAGAACTCACCACTAGGGTGGAACGATGGGTCTTAAGTCGATAAAATTTTCACTGAAATGGGCCGTTCAGGATATTGTAAGACTAGTGCCAAAGCTGTTTTGGCTGGGGGCGGCCCCTTCTTGCCCATCAGAGGCCTAAAAAATGGGTCTAAACGTCCAAAATGACACTTTTACGACCATAACATTGGCACCAGGTACAATTTTGACAGGCTCTATCTCGCTTTTGGTGCAGAATGTATGTCCGAATGCTGTGAATTTTTCCGAGAGCTGTCGGACAAGGTCTTTGGCCCGGGCGGAGGCCGTTTCTGTCAAAAAACGGCGTGAAAATCGTCGTTTTTCATGCATTTTGACGTCTTTTGCCATCTGTGCAGTGTGTTTTGCCGTTTAAGACGTCCCACTCGATCCATCTCTTAAGACCCATTCTCAAATATCATTTTGCATCCAATCCACTTCGGAAGTAACCAGAGTGTAACCGGAAATGGCCATGTTCACGCCGGAAGTGGACACGTTTTGGTCATAATAGGTAAATGCCGTTTTAGACATTTCGTGCACTTTCGGCGCGATCATAGCCATTTCCAGTTTCACTTTGGTTACTTCCGAAGTGGATTGGATGCAAAATGATATTTGAGAATGGGTCTTTAGAGATGGATCGAGTGGGACGTCTTAAACGGCAAAACACACTGCACAGATGGCAAAAGACGTCAAAATGCATGAAAAACGACGATTTTCACGCCGTTTTTTGACAGAAACGGCCTCCGCCCGGGCCAAAGACCTTGTCCGACAGCTCT